ATTGTAAATTATAAGAGGAGGGAACTGGTACCTAAAATACAAGTTTCTACTCGGTTTAGGTACCAACTATTGGAATTATAACTAATGGATGCAGGATAAAAATTATAATTATTATAATGATAAATGTAAAGTTAGTGTGATGCAGACGAAGTCGTGCGGGTCGGCTAGTCGTATATACAGGTATGTACCTGCGAATATTATCCGGTATTTTACCTCGACGTAATTTTGATTAAAAATATACTTAGTAAAAGAGATTAGTAATATCAGAATAACATATTATTAAATCATTAACAATAGCCTTGTTTGTACTTTATTTTTTTGTTGAATCACTATATAACAATATTATTTTGAGGCGTATACCGTATCACGTAGAATATCTGTAGACTAACAATCCTGCACTATTGCCGTCTCGTTAAGGATCATAAGCTCTGAGAAATCGTCAGTGTCATTCTCCCCTGATACACTTATCTCCTATGTGAACTTACCTCTCTCCTAGAGGAGATTATGATTAATTGGTAGGCCTATTAATCATTTTAAATAATCATAATACATACTATATAAATATAGAGTAATACTTATTTGTTACACTTATCTCTTCTGTGAACTTACCTCTCTCCTAGAAGAGATTATGATTAATTAAAATGATTATTAAGTAGGCGTATTAATCATTTTAATTAATCATAATACATAATAGTATATAAACATAGAGTAGTAGGTACACTTGTCTCCTATGTGAACTTACCTCTCTCCTAGAAGAGATTATGATTAATTAAAATGATTATTAAGTATTAGCCTATTAATCATTTCAATTAATCATAATATATAAATATAGAGTAATACTTATTGATATTTAGTATCAATAAGTTTTCATTACAGTGAACTAGTCTGCTTACCAAGCTTGCTATTTAATTTAATACTATTTATTTTGATTGTGAAATTCGTGCATAAAACATTTGTTACAATTTTACAAGTGGGAATCTGTATTATATTACTAAGGTAAAATTGTCACACTTTGTTTATCTTCTTACCGTTGTACTTAATAATAATAATAATAATAGTAGTATCCCTGGGCAATTCAAACAGACCCAAACAGGACTTGTGTTATGGGTACTAGACCACTGATATATACATGCAACTTAAATATTTATTTTGTAACATTGAAAACACCCAGACCGATACAAACAATCATACTTATGAATAAAAAAAAATAATAATCTTTATTTACTGCTCACAAGGAAACTTACAATAGTAAAGAAATTAACAAAAGTATGCATTTTATCTTACAAGCTATTTCTTGTGAGAGTCTGGAGTCTGAACTAAGTCGAAACCTATACTACAGATCTCCAGGCTCTCTGAGGACTTACTGTGTTATGTAGTAAATCTAATAAATGTTTTTGTGAGTATATACATATAATGAATAGGCAGTTGCCTTTTGAGATTTTAATTTGAATGTTGATTTTCGATTTAATTTTATTCAAATATCAGCTGATCCCCTGAACTCCGAGCCGCCTTAAAATTAAAAAAATTGTGAAACGTTTTTTGATGTTTGGTTACGCACTATATTTCTGAACGGATCCTGTTTACCAGTTACCAGTACAGTAACAGTTTCTATGTGAAAATAAAATTGTAAGTTTTACTATTCTCCCTATTCCACTAAACCAAAATTAGCCAAATCGGTTTAGTCGCATTTTCTTCGTATTTGCTCACCACTTAAACATTTCTTTGTCTTCAACGATGGATCCTCCGTCCAATTCAAACGGGGATCGAAATTACGACGGCCTGAGCCGAGGATCGAATCCCTGGCGGTGACCTCAGACTAAAGTCGTATCCATCCGGTGGGAGTTGGCCTTCAGCCGCCCTATATGTCCTTCCTTTGGTTTGGAGTGCCATCTGCACTCGCCCCCTATCGGTGATGCTGTAAAGGCCAGCTGCGGCCAACAGCATTAGAGTAGTCCGAAAAAATCTAGAAATGTCTAGTTTCAGCGAGATTAACAAATGTAATTTCGTTTTTATTTATATGACTACTATAAAATGAGTATCGTGACTGACCGATACTAGATTAGATAATTATTCATATATCAATTTGAATAAAGTATTATCTATTGGTATTAGGCAGTGTAAATGCCTCATATTTATGTCATTAATACAATGATTGTAAATACTTGCTTTGTCATATTAAAAAAATGTACCATGCATTGAATAAAAAATTGACACAACTTATGAGTTGTGTCAATTGTTCCTAATTGTGTACCTAACTTGTGGTTTTTTTTCTGTTGTTTTTATACACGAAAACAATTGATAATAAGTGTGTACTCATATTTAACCTATGGTTTTTTCTATTGTTTTTATACACAAAAACAATTGATAATAGGTGTGTACTCATACCTAAGCTGTGGTTTCTTCTGTTGTTTTTATACATAACAAACAATTGATAATAGGTGTGTACTCATACCTAAGCTATGGTTTCTTCTGTTGTTTTTATACATAACAAACAATTGATAATAGGTGTGTACTCATACCTAACCTGTAGGTTTCTTCTGTTGTTTTATACATAACAAACAATTGATAATAGGTGTGTACTCATACCTAACCTGTAGGTTTCTTCTGTTGTTTTATACATAACAAACAATTGATAATAGGTGTGTACTCATACTTAACTTGTGGTTTCTTCTGTTGTTTTTATACAGAACTAGCTAACCCCCCGTACTCCGTTCCGCCTCAGAATTAAAGGAGTTTTTAAGTTTAGTTACGTAATAAATTGCTGAACACACCCTGTTTGATAGTTTGTTTGTATGAGAAAATAGAAATGATTTTTTCTATTCTCCATGCAATTTCTTCATATTTTATCACCGTTTAAACCTTCCACAGACTTCCACGAATATTTCGAGAGTAAAATTAACCAAATCGATTAAGCTGTTCTCGAGTTTTAGCGAGACTAACGAACAGCAATACATTTTTATATATGTATATATAGATAAACAATTGATAATAGGTATGTACTTATACCTAACCTTTGGTTTCTGCTGTTGTTTTTATACATAGAATAATAGGTAGATAGGTAAATGCTTTATTCATCAATTAAAAAGTAATAGTATAAATTAAATACAGAAATATAAATTTTTGAAATTTAAAAAATGGAGAAAGGTTTTACTTTAGAGTTGCCAACCGTCCTGTTTTCCCAGGACATGTCCTAGTTTGTGAAGTGTCCTGGGAAGTCCTGAATAGTTATTTGGCAACGTCCTTGGTTTTTAAACTGTACTCTTAATTACTAATTGTCAACAGTATAATTTTATCAAATACTTTATGTTAAAAACCAATAAAAATATTAATTACTTGATTTTTACTACATATTAATATAACTATTGCAACACTATTACTGCGTTCTGCTTTTAAACTGGATAGTCCTGGTTTTTACAACTTTCAATCCTGGTTTTTTTAATTTGGGCTTGGCAACCCTTGGGCTTGTTTTGCGTGTAGTATTTATGCGCAATCGTGTACATATTTGTTTGTTATTATTAATAATTATTTATTTATAATCAAATAACAGCCTACATGGTCTAGCGGTTTAGGATGCCTTAGTTCTGATTGTAAAAAAATCTTTAGTTAATATAAAAGGAAGTTGCTTCCTCCGTTTGTTCGCTTAGGTCTTTTAATCTACGCAACGGATTTTACTGCAGTTTTTTAGCAGTAGATAGAGTGATTCAAGAAGATTGTTTATATGTATAATACATAATAAGAACAATAGATATATGTAATAACTAGCTTTTGCCCGCGGCTTGGCTCGCGTTAATTTATTCCCTTAGGGGTGGAAATGCGCAATCTAATGAAAATCCTTTCTTAGCGAATGCCTACGTCATAACATCTACCTGCATGTCAAATTTCAGCCCGATCCGTCCAGTGGCTTGGGCTGTGCGTTGATAGATCACTATGTCAGTCACCTTTGAGTTATATATATTTATATACTATTTTATTATACACACATTATGCAACTTTCAATGATGAAATCAACACCCGTACAAAGCCGTGGCGGGTAGCTAGTATTGAATAAAACAAAGGTACAATTTAATTGCATAGATAAATACTAGTAGTATTACAGATTAGGTAAACCTACAGATGAAAAAGGTCACATCCGCACGTCCATGGGAAAAATTACTCATTATCCCAACCATTAATGACCTTGGTGATGTACTCACCTTCTGATGGTCGTGGGTTCGATTCCCTCAGATACAAACATTTGTATTCGTCGACACACTTGTTTGTATTGTCTTAGTGTTATCTACGTATATTAAGTGTGTAATTTATTTACTAAAAACATATTTAACCAGCAGTAATTAATATATAAAAGAATGTTTAATGTTTTTTTATTCATTTAAAGTATTTGTATGCATAATTAAAAAAAAACATTCTGCGCTCCTTCTATAATAATATAATAAACTACAATTTTCGTAATAACAAAGTTTTTGCTTCACGTATTAATATAAAAATTCTATGTTCTATTAATCTATACATCTATACTCTATACATATAAATAAAATTGGAGTGTCTGTTTGTAATATTGAAATAACCGTTTTTTACTACATGCATATGAACATAAATATGGTACATACACCAAAATAACATTTTTTACAATTTTTGTCTGTCTGTCTGTTTGTTTGTGTTGGCTTATCTCTGAAATGGCTGGTAGGCTGATTTATTGGCAGGTAGCTGATGTAATAAGGAGTAAATTAGTCTACCTTTATTTTAGAAAAAAATCACTTAATTTAGAAAAATAAAGTTAAATTCCACGCGGACGAAGTCGCGGGTACAGCTAGTCTTATATATAAAATTTGCGTGTTACAATGTTGGTTCCATACTCCTCCGAAACGGCTTGACCGATTTTTACGAAATTTTGTATGCATATTCAGTAGGTCTAAGAATCGGCTATTGTTTTGTGTTGACTTAGATTCATAGATATCATGTCTCCTTTCAGTTTTTGATAATGATTTTTTATTTTGTTTCAGAACGCAATGGCTTGCTTTAGAAAATAACATAAGACCGGACTGAAAAGCTGAACAATTAATTTTGTTTTTTAAATATTTGTTATAATTTAATGCATGAATAAAATCTAGTCAACATGAATAATGAGGGTTATGAGAACACGGAAGCGAGAGACGGCGAAACGGTGAGTACCACCTACCACTATACCACACCTACCATATGATAACACAAAGTTCTTCGACGTACTTGTATTTTTTTTATGTATGATAATGGAATTATGCACCCTCTTGCGCTTACGCTGGCACCACTGGAGTGTTACACAGATAGTCTAGACCCTGATAAAGGAAATAGGCTACTTTTTATTGTGAAAGAAAGGTTCTAAGTTATAAGGAGAGATGAAGGGTTGTATGGAAGTATCGTCATTTGTAAACTAGAGGCTAGAAACTTACTTTTTAGGCTGTAGATTAAATATAAATCCCATCAAAAACAAATGTGAAATGATAGCCGAGTTTAATATGATATATGCCTTGATTGTTGACTTCTACGACAAAAGAGATGAGATCTAAATAGGTGCCAAGTTCAATGGTCTGTCCTGAAATGTATTTATAACAATATAAAATATCATTTCTTCTTATAACTTAGGATAATATACTGTAGCCTAAGGTCTGACTTGGCCAGTTCTCATATACCAAATACCTTTCGATTGCTAGTTACTACTAATAATAAAATTGTAAGCTAGAGGATAGAAACTTACTTTTTAGGCTGTAGATTAAATATAAATAAAAGAAAAGGATTGTAAGGGGGTTGAAAAGGGAGATGTCATTTGTAAAGCTAGAAGCTTGAAATTTGTTTCTTAGGTGTGTTGATTAAATATTACTTATTATGACATTTAAAGTTTGTATAAAAGTAACTTTTAAGGAGGGTCAAATAAGATCATTTTCTATGCTAGAACATTGGCTTTCTTTTCTTTGGCATTTTTGGGTTATTGTTTATGGTTATTGATTTTTATTTATTTATTTGCATTATTGTCCACTATAATTGGTACAAAAGGTGGACTTAATGCTATATCATTCTCTCTCAGTCAACCTTTGGGATGTGCAGAGATACTTGAATGCGGCTAATAGAATTATAATTAAAACAATAATACACATAAATACGTACATACATTAATAGAATTGACCTACTTTTTAATACAATAAATACACTAATTACATATACTTACTTACTTTATTGGTCAAGGTCGCTATAACAGACAGACGAAGTCGCGGACACAGCTAGTATACTATATTTTTTTAAACAAACAGACTGATGTCTGATGCTATTGGTAAATAATAACCGATGTACGAGGATAGAGAGCCAGACAGAGTTAATACACGAAATTTTATAAAGCAATGTAATTTATTTAATTTTAATTTTTTTATATACAAAAAAATATTTAAGTATTTATATCAGTAATCTAGTACCCATAACACAAGCTCTGCTTGCCGTGGGGCTAGATAACACTGTGATAATTGTCCAGCGTTATTTATTATTATATTCTTGTACAACTATAGTACGATATTGTAAATAAAAATTAAAACAAATATGACAATGTACGAGGTTAGAGGGCAAATGTTTTGTAAAGACTTTTTAACTTCTTTTTACGAGTATAAACATTTTTAGGTTGGCACACTTGTTTATCATTCTATTTATAAAACATTTTTATTCTGCGACTTTGTACGATATTTTCACTAAAATAGACCGGAATATATAAAGTTCATGTACGAAATTATGTAAAGATTTTTAACTTCTTTTTACGAGGCTAAACATTTTTAGGTTGGCAACCCTGTTTACAGTTCTATTTATATAGAAATTTATCCATTTCATACGACTTCATACTCAATACAATAAGGACGCTATAGATGTACCTAGTAATTAGTAGCTGATTTGTATTTGTAGAATGTAATTGTTTGGCTGAAAGGAAATTTCCAGGGCCGTAAAATACTTAATAAAAAAAAAGTTCTATTTGTAAAAGTGTGGGTATAAAAATGATTATGATATATGTCATTGTAAATTTTGATAACAATAAAGTTTTATTTATAAACATGTTATAAAATATTTACTATTGATGTTGGATATTGTTTATGTTACCGTTAAAATATTATTCTTAGTCGTCGACTGAGTAGCTCATAAGTGGCGATAAAAAGAGTTGCAGGTAATTAATTTTGTAATATTGTGAATGCAATAGTCTGTCATTTACGTTGTCTGTCCATCACAAAAAATTGATGAAACAACTGGTCCATACTAATGTACATTCTAAAGTGTTTGTTACGTATCTAAATGAAATTTGATAAGGTGATATATGTTTGTGTGTTTGTTCTGTTGTTGTTTCTACCGAAGTACAACGGACTGTGTTCTGAGGAACTGTTCGAAATGATGCCTACGGCTAGTTTTTACCATCGCACTGCTCGCCATCGACAGTGAATTTATCCCCACACGCCAGAACCTAAGTGGTCTCGGACTGTGCGGTTTCAGAGGAGCTTTCTCCCGCGTACATTTAGATTGTGGAATGCACTTCCTGCCGAGGTTTTCTCACGAAGCTACAGCATGGGGTTTTTTAAGAAGGGTATATTAAGGTTTCTTAAGGGTCGCTAACGTGCACGTAACATCCCTGGTGTTTCAGGCTTTCATATGCTACGGTAACCATTTACCATCAGATGGGCCGTATGCTTATTTGCTACTATCGTAGTATAAAAAGAAAATGTATAGTATACTATAGATAAAATATAAAAATTAATCATGTGGCGGAATATTAGGGAGTAAAAGTTTGTCAGACGAAGTCACTTCAAGTTCTGCATCCTTACTTAACATTATAAGCGCGAAATTAACTGTCTGTCTGTATCGCTTTCACGCCAAAACTACTGAACAGATTTAAATAAAATTTGGTACACAGATAGTCTAGACTCCGAGAAAAGACTTACGCTACTTTTTAATGCGAGAAAAGGGTTGTAAGGGGTTGAAGGGATAGATGAAATATTGCATGGAAGTATCGTTTATTTCAAAGCTAGGAGGTTGAAACTTATTTTTTAGGCTGTTGATTGAGTTGTGTAAAATCGTCAACTTTCAAGCTAGGACGACGAAAGTTTTTATTTGAGTTAGTTAATTCAATATTTATTTATTATTTGGGTCCAGGTCTCTATTTTATGCGGACAAAGTCGTGGGTACGTTGAATAAAATTAAATTAAATTGGTTGGACAAAATGTAACAGAATAATACTATAAACGCGAACATTAATACGCGAAGTATGGAAATATGTTTTACTCTTTCACGCAAAAACTACTGAACGAATTTTGACCAAACTTTACAGTAATATAGCTAATGCATCAGAATAACGCATATTGAAACTAGCTACTCGCATGGGTGTACATGTATTATATATATAAACCTTCCTCTTGAATAACTCTACCTATTAAACGCATCAAAATCCGTTGCGTAATTTTAAAGATTAGGGATACATAGGGACGGACAGACAGCGACAGCGACTTTGTTTTATACTATGTAATGATTTAACGCGGGTGAAACCGTGGGCGAAGCTAGTAAAGAATAAACGATATACGGTTTATTGTTTTGTTACAGAGACGAGATCAGGACCGAGAATTGGAACTGATCGATGTTCAGAAACCAAACGGAACCGGAAACAACACAGTAAGTATATTCGATGCTACAGTTATTAAATAATTATTGGACTATTTGCTTTTGCAATAGCATATGCTCATAGTTATGTACTCTATTCTCCCAAATTTGAATTTAAAAATGAATCTGTATTATTTTAAACATGTACAACATGTATTTGAAAAGAATACGAGCTGAGTTTTAAAGTAAACGGTTATCGTGGCATATGGACGTCTGAAACACTAGGGATGTCACGTGCTCATTGACGACCCTTAAGTAACTTTTCTTAAAAAACCTCGTACTGTATGTAGTGTCTCGAGAAAACCTCGATAGTTCAAATTCAAATTCAAAAATCATTTATTCATGTAGGACATTTTAGTCGCTTATGAACGTTAAATTTTTACATTATAATTTTATTTTTTTCCCTACCGTCCAATTCTGTATATAGATCCAATGGAGAAGAACTGACATGAAACTCAATTGAATTACAAATTCCACAATCTAAAAGTACGCGGGAAGAGGCTCCTCTGGAACCGCACTGTCCGAGACCACTTAGTTCTAGCTTCAAAAATGACAAATTTCCAATCTCCTACTTCATTTTGCACCCATAAGGGTAAAATTTAGACTATTTTCCTGAAAATTCTAAGTCTTACTATAATGTAACTTATATTACAGATAAACCAATATGAGGACTTAGATAATAAATCCAGTAATTGGCTGGATGCAGTGTTTGTTCAACCCAGAGAGAACATGGGTTCATTCCTACAGAGGCATCGGTCTAGGATAAACGTGTTGCTAATTGTTTTACTCAATGCCGTAGTCATTGGATTCTTCGTCGCCTGCTGGGTTTATTGGGCGAACGATCCGCGTAAGTACCTTTTTATTTAATGGACATGGTGAACATACTGAGGGTCCACCTGATGGTAAGTGGTAACGGTCACTCTATAAATGATTAGCACTAAAGATGTTAATATCATGATCCGAAATCACTGCACCGATTTTTGTGACTTCTTCAAAGACCTGAAAGAAAAAATGTGACTTTGTTATGAGGAACGGAAACTCCGGGTTCACTGCACTGATTTTAAGATAAGTTATCTTATCTTAATTATCTATAACTATGTTACATCATAATTAATGTTATGGAATCAACAATTTGTTCATTTCGGACGTACAATATTAAATTACATTAAAAACAACATACAGAACAATTTTACATTGATCAATGTTTCATTCTTTTCCACTAAGATAATATTCATCCAAGTTGTAGTTTATGTGCTTTGTTATGAGGAACATAAACTCCGGGTCCATTGCACCGATTTTATGTGAGTTTGTTATGAGGAACGTAAACTCCAGGACTTCTGCACCTATTTTATGTAACTTTGTTAGGAGGAACGTAAACTCCAGGACTACTGCACCTATTTTATGTAACTTTGTTAGGAGGAACGTAAACCATTATTGCACCGATTTTATGTGACTTTGTTATGAGGAACGTAAAATCCAGGACTACTGCACCTATTTTATGTAACTTTGTTAGGAGGAACGTAAACTCCAGGACTACTGCACCTATTTTATGTAACTTTGTTAGGAGGAACGTAAACTCCAGGACTACTGCACCTATTTTATGTAACTTTGTTAGGAGGAACGTAAACTCCAGGACTACTGCACCTATTTTATGTAACTTTGTTAGGAGGAACGTAAACTCCAGGACTACTGCACCTATTTTATGTAACTTTGTTAGGAGGAACGTAAACTCCAGGACTACTGCACCTATTTTATGTAACTTTGTTAGGAGGAACGTAAACTCCAGGACTACTGCACCTATTTTATGTAACTTTGTTAGGAGGAACGTAAACTCCAGGACTACTGCACCTATTTTATGTAACTTTGTTATGAGGAACGTAAACTCCAGGACTACTGCACCGATTTTAAACTTTGTTATGAGGAACGTAAAATCCAGGACTACTGACTATTTTATATGACTTTGTTATGAAGAACGTAAATTCCAGTTCCATTACACCATTTATTTTATAATTGTAACAAGCTGTTGAATGTGAGCACTAACCGTTGCCTATATACGTATAACGTTAACACGTGAGGTTCGACTGCTCATGCGTTTCCTTTCTAGAGGATTAAGATGTCATGCCTTACCTAATTTCACTACCTAATAATAAAAAACAGATTATAAATGAAGTTACTTGGCGGGTAAAATAAGTAAGACAATCAAAAAAATATATCTAAGTATTTATATCAGTTGTCTAGTACTCATAACACAAGCTCTGCTTAGCTTGGGACAAGATGGCGCTGTGTGAATTGTCAACAATTATTGTTATTATTATTTTATAAATTATTATTTGTGTCTTTCGTTTTAGATGCGACGCCTTTAGAATTGTGCAGTGGATTTGGCAGTTTAATAACGTATTTAACTATAATATATTTCTTTGTAATATACTTTCAAATAATAAAACGATTCATCGGTAAATGGTTCGAGAAAACTATATGGAGCAGAGTTGATAAAATTGCCGGATGGTTTTGGAGCATTTCGTAAGTAATAATTTATTTTACTTAATAATTAATTAATTTTATTATGCTAATTAAAGTGAATGGACGACCGAAAAAATGGTAAATAATTAAAAAGCTCAGATATGACGGATCAGTGGGAAACACGCGGAAGGACTTATGGAGCGGCTGAAGGTCACCTGCCTGACGGATACGACATTAGTCAGGGCACCAGTAAGGGTGAATGGACAGGCCGTCGTGATTTCGATCCCCGTTGAATTGGACGGGGAAAAGATGGTGTTCTCGATGTAACGAAAGTAAAGATGTCAAAAACCGTGGTTCATGTATGTTTCATAAATAAGTGGACCGCCAGTCATTCCAATTACGGTCTCGATGGTCTAACGGTTTAGTACATCGCCTTATCTTATTCACAGAACAAACATTTATATTCATGTTCATAATTGTTTCTATCAGTGTACTAAATTATGAAGCATTTATAAAAGGACCATATATGGACTATAGGCGTGTGAATTGTCCTGAGTTATTAAAAAAACATTTAAATTATTAATAATATAAATTTTGTCCACAGGATCTTGAAATATTGTTTTATACTCGCGGTTTTGACTGGTATCTCTCTGTTCCTGTACTACGATACGAGAGACTCACCTGAAAGACTCATTTCTCTGCTTGGACTCTTTTTGATACTGTTCGTAGGTAAATATCTGAATTAATTTATTTTATCTAGTAAACACTGGGGTACAAAATTTTTACTTCATCTATTAATCTATTTAATCTATATATATATAAATGAATTGCTGTTCGTTAGTCTCGCTAAAACTCGGGAACGGCTGAACCGATTTGGCTAATTTTAGTCTTGAAATATTCGTGGAAGTCCAGGGATGGTTTAAACGGTGATAAAATATGAAGAAATTGCATGTAAAATAGTAAAAACTACAATTTTATATTCCCGTACAAACTGCTGATACCTGTCAAACAGGGTGCGTTTAGAAATGTATTGCGTAACTAAACTTCAAAATATCTTTGACATATTTAATTTTGAAGCGGAACGGAGTTAGTGGAACGGTGTCAGATATTATAATGATAAAATAAATCCCTATTTCTTTCTACTTAAATACTTAATATTATTTAATATAAATAACATTTTTTACAATTTTTGTCTGTTTGTTCCGGCTAATCTCTGAAATGGCTGGACCGATTTTGACGGGACTTTTTGGCAGGTAGCTAATATAATAAGGAGTAACTTAGGCTACTTATATTTTAGAAAAATAAAATTATATTCCACGCGGACGAAGTCGCGGGTAGAGCTATAAAAAATATAAAAAAAGTATCTTGCACAGAACTTGTTATCAGTTGTTTCCGTTACAAATTGTTTCAATAATTTCTAAGTCAATTTACTGAATAAAATGATAACAAATTTTGGAAAGTTTTTTATTGCGTTGGAATTAATATAGCTCATACTGGTATTAACTGGTTACAATAAGTGTTTCTTATCTTATTTATATTATACAATTATTGCGATGAGTTTGTAATAATACATATAACGACCTCGGTTTACATCCGATGGTCGCGGGTTCGATTCTTCGCACGGCACAAACATTTGTATTCATGAGTATGGTAGTTTGTATTAGTCTGGGTATTTTCTGTATATAATATGTATGTGATTACGAAAAAAAAATTATCCATGTATTTGTATCAGTTATCTAGTACCCATAACATAAGCTTCAGCTAGCTTATATGGGGTCTAGATGGCGCTGTGTGAATTGTCCTGAGATTATTATTATTATATAAGTATATAATATATTATAACTAAGTAAGCCACCTCGGTTTACCAGTTTCCTAGTTTACAATGTATTTTTTTATATAACTAGAATTGCAAACATGTGTGCCCTTTTGATGATAAGGGGTAGAGTCCGCTTACTTCCTATGGTCGCGAGTTCGATTCTTCGCACAATGCAAACATAACATAACATAAACAACCAGACAATGATACGTACGTATGGACATATGTATGGACGGTCTGGATGTTTTCCATGTATATTATGTATTTACAAAAAATGTTTATATAACTAGACTAATAGAAATATTTAATATTCATAATACAAGTTAAAAAGCGCTTTCGTGATGTACTATATATATTTAGAGATATTTTTTTTATTTTTTATTTATATGGTTGTATATTGGATCCTCTTTCATCCTTACAGCGGTGGCGCTATCGGTGTACCTACGCTCGCTAGTATTAGGATTGAATCGAAAATTAATAATTTTGTTACATTTTTACTGGGCCGACGGCATGCAGCGCAGTAATAGATATTATTTTTGTGGATGGTAATGGAATCGTGAACCCGCCTGCGCTAACGGTTTACGAATGATAAGATTGAGGTCATTTTGTGACTAATTCACCAGGAATTTGGTTTCCACCGCGTGGAGGTCGACCTGACAAGGTACATTGCTAGCAATGGGGTTATCAATCCACATTACTAACAATCCCCTTCCCCCCAGTAATAGATATTATACCTGCAATAATAACACTACTGTTTGTAAATTAAACAAATACTTGAATACAGTATTTACTTATACTTATAGTTATTAGGTGAAGGTTATCAGTGTTGATTGTACAATTAATTTCATGATATGATTTACTAGCTGTAGTACGCAGCTTCGTCTATATTACACTTACTTGATATTTATCATTATTTACCATCCAATATACATAAAATCCTTTTAAATTATAGCTTATATGTTATTCGGATATATAAGCTATTGCTGTAGTTTCATTATATTAGGCACATTGATTTAAGAAGAAAAAGTATAATCCATCACATCACTGTCTGTTATAAATCTGCCAGAAAAAAGATTTAAATGTCAAATAAAACAGTTCCTTTGCAAAAAAGCTTACTATAAAATTGAAGAATTCGTTAACGATAATAATGTTTTTATAGAAAAACTTTAAATCTATAGCACTAACAATATTATCTGATTACATTAATAATGAGTGCGTAGCGACTTCTATGTTGATTATCGCATGCCTCTTACTTGTTATACTGTAATTATTTATATATAAAAAAAAAACATCTATTAAAAAGAGCAACACACAAGTTTCTTGCTCATTCTTCTATATATATAATCTGCATTCCGAATGAGAAATCATATGACTATTCAAAAGTGCTTGTAATGAGTTTATTTGAATAAAGATTATTTCTATTTCTATTTAAAATAAGTATTGTTGCTAAGTAACAGTTTGTTTGTAACGTGCAACTGTGATCGGATCGAAAGTAAATTATAATCGAAAGTAAATTATATTTACTATATATGTAATCCACTGAATATCTCCATCATATTATCATCATCATCATTGGGCTTCCTAAAATATGGTCGAGTTCAGTGATGGCTGGTTCATCACCATACTCGTGAACGAGTGCTGCTTGTAGGGACTGGTCTGCTCTTATCACTACGACTGATTTAATCTTATTGTATATATATTTGATCCTAATAAATTAGTGGTTGTTGGTAGTTTGTATTCTCACGTTTCGACTTGTAAATGTAAACTTACAAGGATTATTTAAAAGAGCAACACACAAGTTTCTTGTGATGAGACAGCTTTCCGAACGAGCGGTAGATAAAAAAATTATGTCTATTCAAAAGTATTTCAATTAAGTTTATTTGAATAAATGATTTTCTATTCTGTTCTATTCTATTAAAATCAGTTCAGTTATTTTTGCATGAAAGAGTGACAAAAATCCATCCACCTAAACTCACAAACTTTCGCGTTCATACCTATAAAATAGTATACACAAAGTTGTAATACAAACATATATCAATATATTTCCAGGGTTTATATTTTCCTCGTCGCCTGGTCGAGTAAACTGGCGAACAGTACTGGTGGGGCTGACTTTGCAATTTGTATTTGGCCTGATATTCATCAGGTGGGAGCCTGGTAGGATAGCTCTCCAATGTTTTTCTGATAAGGTACGAATATTTATTACAAATATTATTAAAATTAGTAATAATTATCTTCCCAACTGTTATCCGAGATAGGAAGAACTACCCTAGTGAGTAATTTTTTTTAAGTGATGATAATATCGAAATGCCCGTGGAAGATGATGAGATGAGCATGAGATCAGGTCGGTTAGTGCATCGTAGCATATTCACCAGGAATTTATCATGATGTTTTCCAGGGGGAACGTGTTATACGGTACGTGGTAATCAAATTTACATGATATTGCTAGAGAATATATACTATTTATTTTTTAAATTGCGCATTCAAATTCACAAATCGGTACTAGTAGCACGCGTTCACTAGTATGACATAACCCTTGTGTTCTATTGCCAGGTGGCGTCATTCCTGATGTACGGAGTGGAGGGTGCAGCGTTCACATTTGGAGACTTCCTCGTCAAGAAGGAGTCAGTATTCGCTTTCAGTGTAAGACAATGTTAATTGTTGAAAATAATCTTAATAATTTTATTTTGTGTGTATGGCTGGATGTTTGTTATTCTTTCACGAAAAAACTTCTGAGCGGATTTTAATGAAACTTTACAGTAGTATAGTTTATACATCAGAATAACACATTGGCTATAATTTAAAAAGATATAGTGTAAATTGAGTAAGTGTTATCCATACGAAGTTGCGAGGATCAGGACTTCATAATTATTAATAAACTTTCGTGTTTAATATACATTATTTATATTTTTAACCGGGTCTTTATACAAATAATTTAATGGTAAATAAAGGTATCTCTTTCGAGATTTCGATTAGGTTGCACCAGCCGTGGTCACGAGTTGACTAAAGTGAAATCACTGTTACTCCAGTCCGTTTGTGACCATGACTTTGTGCAATGATATTACAGGATCATGGCAAGGACAGAGGCGTCATGCCTCTGCCATGCCATGCCCTGCCATCTTAGTCCTATGGAATGGCAACGCATGGGCGGTATCACGACCCTCACATGATAACGTGATGTCCTTAAAGATGTTCTACGTGAACAACTTTATGGACATCATGTTATCATGCGATAAAAGCAACGGTTTCCACATGCAATCAGATGAACTGTATTTATTTGCTATTTTAATTACATAAAAAAATCGTTGCAGTAGATCCGGAGTTTACGTCCCTCATAGCAAAGTCACATAAAATCGGTGCAGTGGACTCGGAGTTTATATTCCTCATAACAAAATCACATAAAATCGATGCAATAAACTCGGAGTTTACTTTCCTCATAACAAAGTTACATAAATCGGTGCAGAGAATCCGGATATTGCGTTCCTCATAACAAAATTACATAAAATCGGTGCACTGGTCCCGTAGTTGTCGTTCCTCATAACAAAGTCACACGTTTCTCCTTCCAGGTTTTGCCCGTGATATTCTTCTTCAGTATGCTGGTAGAAGTGCTGTTCTTCTGGGGGGCCCTCCAGTGGTTCTGTCTGAAGTTGGGACAAGTTCTGAAGTCTGCCACCTCCATTACTGTGTGCGAGAGTGTGATAGCCGTTGGAAACGTATTTCTTGGCAATGTAAGTACCGACGTAGACTTTAGAAACCAGTGGATTGTGTGTGAGTGTGTAGTGTTGACTCTAATTAATTTGTACAATTGGTAGTCAACTTATAAATTATATAAATATAAGTTAGTTGTAAAATTTTTAAGTTGAAATTGTTTTTTAAAAGAGCAACATGTTTATTTCTCTTTCTTGTGATGAGACAGTTGTCTGAATGAGCTGTAGATTAAAAAACTAAGTGTGACTATTTAAAAGTGCTTAAATTGAAGTTTATTTTACGGTATTGATGAATTTCTTAGCAGCAAAAATTGTATAATTTCAAATACAATATAGATGTTACTGAATAAATAACATGAAAAAATAAAATATTATTTGAATAAAGAATTTTCTATTATGTTTATTCTAAAAATATAAGAGAAAATTCTAGCGTAGTAATAGCAGTCTGCATATCAGGCGTACATACTCGTTTTTAAAACTCATATGTTTCCTGTCGTACGTTGAATAATTTAGTATAGTATATTTATTTATTTATTTAATAAAAGTTTAATGCACAAATAACGGTCCACATGGCGGATGTAACACCTTGATGACACCTTTCGGGTAGGTTTGGATGAAATTTTCTAATGCTGTTAACCGCAGCTGGCCTTTACATCTTTAATAAATCGGTAATCGACTATTGCCTTTTATTTAGAAACACTACTAATCCTTATCTTATCATCTTATGAACAGACGGAGTCGGCGCTTCTGATCAAGCCGTACCTATCTAAGCTCACTCCATCAGAAATGCATGTTGTAATGGGTTCCGGATTCGCCACAGTGTCAGGTAATTTCTCGATTTGACAGTGTGCCTACACTTGTAATATTTCCGTCAACACTCGACACCCTTCCATAAGTTTACGTCTCCACATCCGGACCACACTTTTACACATACACATGACACCGTCCTCGCCGGCGAAGACGACTCCAAAACACTATATCGCGCAATCAACCGGGCGTCTGCGCGTGCCGCGGTGCCCTCAGACTAAACTAGTAATAAAAATAAAGATTATTTCTATTTCTTTTTGTTGTATATTTTATGTGTAACAAATAAACATTATATGTGTAACAAATAAAGACTATAGACAAACAATATTAATCTGTTTTCAATTTGAGAGAAATAATGAAAGTAAAATGTTTAACATTTTATGTGTAGCAAATTAAGACTATAGACAAACAATATTAATCTGTTCTCAATTTGAGAGAAATAATGAAAGTAAAATGTTTATTTGTTACACATAAAATATACAACATATATTTTATGTGTAACAAATAAACATTTTACTTTCACTTTACTTTTTTTGAAAATAGAACATTAATAATGTTCAAAGTTCTAATTTAAATTAATTATAATCTAATTTCGATTCCTGGGCGTCCACTAGTAGGTCTAGATAGATTATAACTTCATGAACTGCCAACAGGCACGATCCTGGCTGCGTACATAAGCTTCGGTGCTGAACCAGCTCACCTGGTGACGGCGAGCGTCATGTCAGCGCCGGCGGCCATCTGCTACTGCAAGCTCTTGTTGCCGGAGACTAAGAGATCGCTCACTGCTGTCGACAACATAGAGCCAGTCACCAGGTATGTGTTACGGGCGGCATCAACGACGGTACACTAATAATATTTCATCCATTGTTTCTTTTAAAATGCCTCGCGCCTCGTGACAAGCTTGGCGCCAAGCCGGTCGCGAAGATTCTAGAATGTTTGTTTTACCAGTGGGGAACAATGGCACAGTACGGATTTTTAGTTCGAAAAACGGATTTAGATGGCGTTCTAGAATGTTTGTTTTACTATATAACATTATGTTATCTGTGGTTTTACGAACGCTGGATGTGCAGATGTAACCTATAATATACACAATATGGTGGTGCTATTTATAAATATTGGTCAGGTATGGAGTAGTCGACTTATCCAGACATGTGGCGGCGTGGTGAGCACACTAAAATATGGCTGTCTCATACGTCATACTCGTGAACGAGTGCTAGTAAATTAGTGCTAGTTGGTTTTACATATATAAACTTACAACATAACATTATGTTATCTGTGCTTACAACCATTATTTAAAAGAGCAATACGCAAGTTTCTTGCTCGTTCTTCTTGTGATGAGACAGCTTTCCGAATGAGCGGTAGATTAAAAGAATGATAACTATGACTATTCAAAAGTACTTAAATTAAGTTTATTTGAATAAAAGATTTTCTATTCTATTCTATATGTTTTTTTTATGATCCTTCTATACGCACCAAATATATTTTTCTTTCGTTCTTTGTAACTTTCAGTGAAGACGAGTCCGCGTTATCGGCAGCTACCCGTGGTGCAACCAACGGTATACCACTAGTGTTGAACATCATAGCCAACCTGGTGGCCTTCCTAGCGTTCATCGCGTTCATCAATGGGGTACTCGGATACTGCGGTGACCTTCTTGGATTCGAGGGTCTTAACATGGAGCTGATCTTTGGGAAGATCTTCATTCCTTTATGCTGGGTTATGGGTACGTGAATATAATAATCATCTTTATTTATCTCAAATAATAAACTATTACAATTACAATATTAATAATAAGAATCTTTAATCGTCTCAAATAATAAACTATTACAATGATAATAATAATCCAATCGTTATGTCGGTGAACGGTCTTATCCCAACCAGTCTGGAACAACATCTCAGACGGCTGGGATTCCGAGGCGGCTCACTCCCGGGAAAGATGCAGAAAGCGGTGCTGTTAGATTCTGCCCGCATTGTACGCCGGTTTCTCTCCCTGAGGCCCTGAACCCCGGCCGACTGTGCTTCTGCCGGGGGTATGTTGCCATCTCCTCTCCTTAAGAGTGGAGATGAGATAATAATAATAATAATCTTTATTTGTCTCAAATAATTAACTCTTATAATTGCTGTTTATAATAAAATTTATAGGTATTAATTTTATTAATTAGTTAATTTATTTGCACAAAAATAAAGTGTACCTACATATGGCGGCGCGATTTTCGTAAAAAGGCGTACAAAGCTTTTGCTTCACGTATTTTTAATATATAGATTATTGTGGCAGGTGTACCGTGGGAGGAGTGCCAGAGTGTAGCTACCCTGATCGGCCTGAAGACAGTAGTCAACGAGTTCGTGGCCTACCAGAGAATGGGGGAGATGAAGGACGCCGGGCTGTTATCGGTACGTCAAATAATACAAGTCATATACCGAGCCTTCGTCTGCTTTTATAATTGATTCTCTGAAATAGAAATAGAAATAGAAATAGAAATAGAAATAATCTTTATTCAAATAAACTCATTACAAGCACTTTTGAATAGTCATATTTTGATTCTACCACTCTCTTTCTCTCTCTCACTCTGATTCATCATTTAATGTTTTATTTTATTTTTGAGGATGATAATGTATTGTGTTTTTTACATTGCACTGAATAAAATATTTTTCTTTCTTTCTTAAATGGTGCACCCGCCTGCGCTAACGGTTTACGCTGGCGGGGCACCAGTGGAGAATAAAAAGATGAGCATAAGGTCAGGTCAGTTGGCTCATCGTGACAAATTCACTAGGAATTTATAATGATGGTTTCCAGGAGGAACCGCGTGGTCGTCCTAACATGGTACCTTGCTAGTAAAAGGCGTTACTAGTTCCTATTACTAACAATCGACTTCCCCCTAATCTTGCATGATTATACCGACATAGCCCGAAGAATTGCGAAACTAAAGTGGCAATGGGCAGAGCACATAGCTCGTAGGACAGATGGCTGTTGGGTCAATAAACTCCTCGAGTGGTAACCGCGGACCGGAAGACGCAGCGTGGGAAGGCGTCCAGCAAGGTAGACCGATGATCTGGTCAAGATCGCTGGAAAGCGTTGGATGCGAATAGCTCAGGACCGATCATTGTAGAGGAAGAGCCGAGTTTCGAACCCCTAGCCACTGCTAGGGGTTCGAAACTCGGCCGCTTCTGGCCTTTGCAGCTTCATCGGACGATAGGGGGCGAGTGCAGATGGCACTCCAAATCAAAGGAAGGATTTATGTATTTACGACTTTAGTCTGAAGGCACTCCCTCAGACTAAAGTCGTGTCTGTCAGGCGAGGGTTGGCCTTCAGCTGCTACATAAATCCTTCCTTTGGTTTGGAGTGCCATCTGCACTCGCCCCCTATCGTCCGATGAAGCTGCAAAGGCCAGAAACGGCAAACAGCATTAGAGTAGTCCGAAAAAAAAAGTACCTTGTGAGCAGTGAAATAAAGATTATTATTATTGTTTGTTATATGTTTTAAAATGTTTGTTGCAGCCTCGTTCGGAGCTTATAGCAACTTATGCTTTATGTGGGTTCACTAACCCCTCGTCGGCGGCCATCATGATTGGCGCCATTTCTTCAATGGCGCCTAACCAGAGAGAAACGTTGTCTGGGGTGAGTATATAAATCGTGTAGGTATATCAGCAATGAGCAACACGCGGCTCGGCATTTCTATAATTGAATTTATTCTTTCGACTTTCTGCCATCAATGCCCTTTAGAATTGTCCACCCCATATATTTTTTTGTTTTGGCCAATTTTTTTTTTGTAATTTTATAATGTGGCATTAAACATAGATATAACCCTAAATTTTTACCCTTCTACCTTCAACCCCTATTTTTTAATAGCGATATTAGTACTTTAATTTATATGGCAAATTGTATATAATTTTGTGCGAATACAAATTACCCAATAGCAAAGTTGACATAAATATATCTTATTAAATAAATAATAATATAAAAATTTCAATATTTTTTTACAGTTGGCAGTGAGAGCATTCTTTGCTGGATGCGGCATCTGCTTTATGACAGCTTGTATAGCTGGTAAGTCTAAGCACAAGTCTAATCACTATACACCTTTTTTTTTATACCACAATAGTGGTAAACAAGCATACGACCCATCTGATGGTAAACAGTTACCGTAGCCTAAAAACGCCTGTAAAACCAGAGGTGCGGTCTACCGACCCTTCACACCATGTCACTTGAATCGAACCCGCGACCATCGGAAGTAAAGCGGTTTGCTAATGGAAGATCATCGGAATCGAAGTGTGACCATCGGAAGTTGTAGAATAAAAGTTGTTCCTAACCATAAGTGCCTTTATATCCTTACGGGGCTTAATATATCCTTTCTGACTATCTCTGTATATATATACCTACCTATATATTATATTCAACTTATTTTTTTAATGTGATTCATTAATTATCTATACAGTAATAAGATTTTTTTAAATTTTCAGCCATACTGATGCCAGGAGGATCTCTGTAAATAGTGATATTATGTTATGACTCATTATATACATATACTAATGTTATAAAGAGAGAAAGATGAGTGAATGTTGCTATGATTAAAAATAATGAAAATTTATACTCTGGCAACACAGCCTCGATTTGAGAAATTCTAAAAAAATTTTTGTTTGAAAGGAAAATTGTTTCAGAGTGATATCTATAGATCATATATTGTTTTAATATATACAAAATACGTAAAATCAGGAGCACCCGTGGAAATGCAAGGCTAGTCTTCTTTAAAATATGGAATAGATATATACGATATATATAGATATACCTATAACACGTAGATTATATACCTATAAAGGTGCGGCCACGCAAAGTCGGTATCGAAAGGACGATATAACTTTGAACTGACGTACAACTGATCCGACAGATCATAAAGCTTGTAATAAAAAACAGCAAAAACATAAATATTTGAAAAATCGACCTTAAAATATTAGATTTAATGTCGTTGGTTCAATAATAATTTATTTGAGTTAACGCATTTCATTATTGAATATGAGATCTGTTTCATTATAACCATTGCAGTATTTTATCCCTTACTTTGTAATGAATAAAATAGCAAACAATAGACTATCACAATAATATGATGTCTGTGGTACTGTTCATGTATATAGGCGCCGGTTGCCACTTACCATCCAGTTATATATAGTTACTGTATAAAATTAATGATATTTTTTTTATACTGATATTATATTATAGATTTATTTTATTTTACAGAAAAAATATGTTTTGTTTGCCAAATTTTGTATTTAAATGTTATATTGTATAATGTATTTATTAAATGACTTGCAATATTAAAAATAATGTATAAATGTTAACTAAATGTTGTTTTGTTGTATTCTATTGTAAATATTTATGATAAAATAACTTACCTTTGTAAGCTAATGTATATATGTTAAAGAAACTATATTTTAAGTGTCAAATTTTGTATGAAATAAATAAATAATTACCTACCTCTATCTAAAGATTTTTATTATAACATTTTATGTTAAAAGAATTAAAGTAAATTATTTTGATTGTGTAAGCCAGGGTGGGAACTTAGTAAATGTTTTAAAAGTTCTAATTGCTGTATTTACTCAAAACATACTAGAAAGATAATAATTTCAACATAAGAACATGTGTTTTGCCACAGTAGTGTCATCCAAAATATAATATTGGGTTAAATTACAAACACAACGAAAAAATAATATAATGGAATCTCTCCTGTCAATAGTTGCAAAAGTCGGCACAGATTCGACGTCGAGTATTGTCCGCAGTGGTCAGACGGCCGAGCATAGTGCACAAAATGTGATAAATAAGAAACATAAATATCAGCACCGAATGGTTTGTAATTACTTAATTGTGTTAGCTTCAATTAATAAAGAACACTCGGTTGACTAATTTGTTACTTACATTTCAAATTTAAAACCATAGCGAGTCACGTGATGTTGGTGACGTCACGATTATGTCGCCACCAATAGTAATAGAGATAAAGAGGCCGGGAACAAGGAAGGAGCGGGCTGCTCTCTCTTTGTTCGAGGCGACCGAGACGACCAGACGTGAATGTACAGCGACGCAATTTATGTGAAGTGTCATTTGAAAAAGTAATAATATACATAAAAGTACTGCTGCATCGACATATCATTTCTGAAACTTCCCAATAATTGTAATAAATATTATCAAACGTTTCGGTTTAATGTTTTAATAATAAAAAGAATTATTAATAATGATGATTATAGGTTCTAATAAAAATATTAAAGCATTTTTTTTGTTTGTGTAATCATAAACAAGCTGACGGCCCTCTTGATGCTAAACGTTACAAAGGTATTTACATGTTATGTATATGTTACTGTGGATATCACGGTATCGTGTTACACTCTGACAATATAGCGCCAGACGCCCGTGAACTGGCCACTCATAGGTTGCCGTTCTGAAGAACTAAGATGTCATGCCTCTTGTCCTGTAATTTTGCCGCTTTGTCTCACTCATCAACTGAAACATTAAAGGTGTTAGCAGACGACTTTTTACAAATTCTATCTCGGTACAATTTATTCTAGCAATAAAAAAAACAAAATATTCCATATTCAAAAACTAAAAATGACGTTATAGTAATGTCCGTTGCAAGAACATATCAAATCAAATACCACAAATACAAAACGGCTGTAGTTCGTTATGATAACATATCAAAATTGTGAAGTAGTCGCCAGTTTCTTTTTCTACATTACCGTCAAATTTCTCAGTGTACTATTCGAATACTATAACCCAATGTATAAGAAAAGAGCGCCAACTTTAACTAGCATTCCAGAGAGAAACGAAAATGAGGAGGTTAGGAAATGGGTCCCAAAGAAGAAGCATGAAGTGTTGAAAGCTAAATATAAATGTTTGAAGAAATTATTCCAGATTTACGATGCTAGTGTTATTGGTAAGTTATCAACCTTTGTCATTAGATATTCAGAAAATAACTGTAACTCTATACAAACTACTATTCAACGTATCAGACACTCTTATCGTAAATTTACAACTAAATTATTTATAAGAGCAACACGCAAGTTTCTTCCTCGTTCTTCTTGTGATGAGACTGCTATCGGAATAAGAGGTATATTAAAAAAGTGATGACTATTCAGAAGTGCTTCAATGTGAGTTTATTTGAATAAATAAATTTGTATTCTATTTCTTTCTATTCCTTGTCCTTTCAACTGCTAGCTGTCAAAATGACTAACGCTCCAGGCCAAGAGTGCTGATACTTCAGATTTAGGGACAGTACAAAGTCTATCCCGACAACAAAGCTTTTTTATTACATGTATAGCATAGGGAGGATACGAACTCGCGACTCACCTGATGGTAAGTGACCTTTAGAGAAGGAATAAGCTCTTATCTTGAAGGTTTCAATATGGAATCGGTTCGGAAATACAATTGTTAGAGAGTTCTTCAGAGCTTCCATAATGTGGTTGTGCGTGGTAAAATGTTTCTGGAAAATCCTACGATGATCAGGATATTTTAGTTTCTGGTGGGTAGTGCGTCGTTAAATTCAGCAGATTCCTATAGCGGTAGAAAATGCTCAGAGATCAATGTCTCGCCGCAAAGTCAATGGGTCGGGTCTTTCATAAAGTTGATTAGATACTAATGATTCTGGCTGCCTGCTACTGAATGCAAAAAGAGGCTTTGGTAAAATTGTAGGTATACTACCAGAGCCATGTCAAGACGCCGAATCAATAGAAGAAACGGAAATAGATGTCAAGCAATCTAAAAGGAAAAAACGGTCCAATAGAACAAAAACCGACGCGTGCGCGGGAACTATTGAAGTATCCAACGGTGATGTAACTGAACAGTCGGAATCTGAGAGAGGTAACTTTGCTGCTATAAAATAACATAGACTATGAGAAATTTTAGAAGTTAATAGTTTGAAGTATGGCGACGATGGATGATCAATCAAATCGCTTTAAATTATAATAATTCTCACCTGGGATCAGTCGAGAAGGTAATACCATCACGGTTGCTATTCCAGATGGGAGAGTCATAGTGGTGAACGCCACACTTAACATGTTTGGTGCGCTCGGTATATTTGAATCCAACGTGACAGAGAAAGTCCAAAGTCCTTTACTAGAGACACTGTATACGCTTAATTTTAGATTAGTTTCTACGGACTAGGTATATTCAAATCAATAACAAAATAAGATCAGACTTGTTTCAGGATCGACTATAGCCACGGCAGTAATGAGAGACCTTAAAATGACCCAATGTTCATGTACCTCAACACAATATGACGGAACAATATCCAAATATGATACATACGCGACTACACAAGTCTCTAAAGAGAATGTAACTGAAAGAGAATGTGATTGCACACAAACGCACCCAACAGTAAATCCTAATCCTTATTTATTGCTCAATGGAAAACCAAAGATAACCAGATTCCAGTGGTTCATACAAAGAATTTTCGGTATACGCGGAGAATACAAAAATTTTTCAAACGGCCATGTTTATGCAGCCAGTGATAATAATATAACACACCAGTATGGAGAGAAAAGGAGAAGACGCGGACTTAGATTCAGAAGATTGAAAAGACCGAAAAAGATTCAATCGGAAAGCGGATTGAGGAGTGTAAGGAGTCCAGCAATACTGACGTTCGTCCAATCTGTTCAGCGGAGCTGCTTGATGGATACTACACCTAGACAATGTCCAATTGTGGGATGTAAGATGATGTTTTATGGTAGGCATATATTGTACACCAAATTACCAACTAGTAAGGCTTGAAGGATAAGATTTAGCAGTGAAATTACAGGGTTTATAATATTTACTTATTTTCAGTTTCGAATAAGAGACAGTGCTCGGATTGATTGATCGAGTTCAAGTCTAGGCGAGACCAAAATAAACTTTGTATCAATCATACGATTGTTACTCTAGCGAAGTAAACGCAGATATCAAAACAAAAACTTATTGGCGATAGGCTCCTCCCCTGTAACGTTGGAATCAAACATACCTACCGAAATATATGTCATGTATTGCTTGCACTATAAATTTGATGTTCAAGTTAACCAATGCCTCTCACTGCGGGTTTCTTATAGAAATTTTTCCATGTCAGGTTAACCTCCATCGCTAGTGAATACGAGTGTACAACTATCTTCTTTTTATTTTTGTTAGTAAGTAGTTTTAAGTGCAACTTGTTCTTTAAACAATATTCAAACTCAGTAATATTTACAATAGTTTTTTTACTTTCATTGACGTTATTTATTTGCAGGTATTATCAATTACAACGATCACCTTAACCTTTGCCATTTTACTGGCAGAAAATATATCTGCCATTACTGCCACGAGGGTTTCGAGCGAGAATACGATAAATATGTACACGAGAATGATCATATTGGTATAACCAAACTGAATATAACCTCAGCGCCATCAACTGACAGACAATCCAGTAAAAAGGCCAGTAATACTCAAACAGATCCACAATTAACGAAAATCAATGTACAAGAAGAGAAATTGAAGAAGATCGTATCATTTTTTGATAAAATAACCGATCCTGAACAAGTGATAACACAGATTAAAAAGGATAGATTTTCCGAATCGAATTTGCGATGTCACAGATCTAAGATGGAGACAACCATAGATAATATAACTAGCACAGATAACAGCTCGGACGGAGACAAGCGAACGGTCAGCTGCGTAAACCTTCGTAGAAAAAACAATAGGATCTTTAATAATTATATTTCGTCAGGCGATTCAGATTTTACTTCACAAATTCCAGTTTCTCAAGTAACTTGCAACTTTTGTGGAGAAAACTTTGAATTCAGGTAAGCTGTCCAGTCTTTATAAACACCGCTAGTTGGATAAAAATCTACAGGCTCTCAAATACCTACCAACCAACAGAAGGAGAAACTGTTTATTTCAAGTTAATAAGGAATACTATTTGTAACGTCAAAATATTCTTCAATACTACTTCAGTATTACATTGTCTATGGTTTTATGCCCACAGACTACACATACAGATAATTATGAAATAAAAAACATCGTATATTACAAAAAACACATATTTATTGTAGTTTACAAGTATAATGAATGAGTTGGCATTATTTAGGGAGCCTAATGACAGCTCCGCCATGCTACCAGATGGTAGTCGTGGCAACGGAGTGGAGGATGATAAGATGAACATGAAGTTAGGTTAGTTAGTCATGGAAACAGCGTGGAGAACAACCTGACATGGTACATTGCTTGCAATAGGGTTCTTAATCCACATTACTAACAACCCCTTTCCGTCTGCAGACGTCATTTGAACCATCTAACGTTTCTTTCTGTATCGTTAATAACGGTGCATTTTTTTTAAAAGATGATAATGGAATGTTGGACCCACCTGCGCTAACGGTTTACACTGGCGGGGTACCAGTGAAGGATGATAGGATGAACATGAAGTCAGATCAGTTAGCCCAACGTGACAAATTCACCGGGAATGTATCACGATGGTTTCTAGGGAGAACCGCGTGGAGGTCGATCTGACATGGTCCATTGCTAGCAATGGGGTCATTAGTCCACATTACTAACAATCCCCTTCCCCCAGTAATGGTGCATTGTACTCTATGAGGTCAACCACCACACGATACCAAACCATATTGGTAAATTTTTATGACGAATTCACTATGATAGACTTGACGTCCTCGTGCTATTATCCTCCACTGGTGTCTGGATATACCAGCGTACGCATTCATCTATACTAAAGAAAACATCTTGTCTTTTCTGTAATTCTAAATGCCTATAGACAAATATTGACAGCCTCTAGCGATTTAGCACACCGCCTTTTTTCCCATTATTGCAGGTTCGATTCCTCGCACGAAGCAAAGATTTGTATTCATAAGCATAATTATTTGGTCTGGGCATTTTCTATGTATATATTATTTAGGTATTATATTTAGGAAAAAAAAATTTTTGTCTAGAAGCCAAAACTCAAGGTTTGGATGGGACTAGAAAACCCTGTGTGAATTGTCTAGGATTATTATTATTATTAGATACTGTCTATAATTAGATATAGATTAGTCTAAAAATATTATGTCTAGTAGCCATAACTCAAGGTTTTGATGGGACTAGAAAATGAATTGTCTAGGATTATTATTACTAGATACTCATATCTATAGTATAATATCTAATATATATTTATTAGTGATTATATTTACTGCCTGTTTCTTTTCAGACGTCAGCTAAGTCTTCACATGGACTTAGAACACCGCACCCACAACAAGTACTCCAAATTTCACAGTTGTGCCGGCATCACTAACCCCAAACGTTGTGAAATGCTTTCCGAGGATGGTAAAGTCAATATACTTAGCGAACATCAAAATCCTTCAACCATACGACGCATCAACACATGTTCCACGCTGACCCAAGATTCGGAATATTCTAGAAATTCAGAAGAGACGCTCAGATGTGATCCGTCGACCAATATCGTGTATTACAGTTCTTCGGAAGCCGCAAAACCGTCTATGGAGAGTTTTGTCAATAGGGGCGGGTACAAATGGGAACCAGGTACTAAGATTATACATGTGTGAGCGTAGACGTCATGTTATGTAATAGTTATTATAATCTGAAATTGATGGTTTTGTTTTATTGTAAACCAGCTGGTGGGAAATTGCGAAAAAATATAGCAAATAAGGTTTCACCACCATGCGGTAGGGCGCGGTCGCTGGTTCAGAAATATGATGTTAATTCGCTGACTGATTAAAATATTCAAGGCTTGTTACCTGCAATATATTGGGCTCGTACTCCTGGAGACCACCTCTAAACGGCTGTCGCACAGATCACAATGATATAAGCACAAAACACAAAAATATTGTCCAAATTCGAGATTAACCTTTAGCAGCGTGCACGGCGGTTGATTGTACAAATCAGAGAGTTTTCGAAGTGAATAGATGCACAATTGCACTCGCAGTGACGCGACAGAGGCGCCACTTTACAGGTACATACTTACCCGCTTTTACAAATATACAAACCTTGACTGCAAATACAACAGACCAGCGAAATAACAATATATATAATTGTTAACAATAAAAATGTTATAAATGGCGTAACCACCAGCTGTTACTCATTTACTCTATTACTTGTGGTAAATGTGCATGGCAATGGTTGTTTTTGCCCGGGATTAATTTAATGACAAAGACAAGAAATATACCGTTTTAAATTTAACGAGGTCATTTAAACGTACAATTAGGAACAATCACGATCTTACCACGTTTTATTTTTATCGAGTTCCCGATATCTCGGTAGTATTTCAACCGCCACGATCACGGGTGAACTGGAGAGCAGCGTGTAGATAGGTAAATAAAATCTTTGGGCATACTTATTTGTCTACATTCACACGTTTTCGTTTATAGCTACTATTGAAGCAATAAAAATAACGTAAACCGTGATTTTTGCCAATTGTGAGTTTTCATTAGTAAATCTGTAAAGGCCAGTTACGAACATCACCATTAGAATAGTTCCCTATTGACTTTAAAAAAAAACCAAATTATTTCGACTATTAAAGCTGTAAAGGCCAACTACAGGCTCTCAAATACCTACCAATCAACAGAGGAAGAAACTATTTATTTCAAGTTAATAAAATAAGGAATACTATATGTAAAGTCAAAATATTCTTCAATACTACAGCAGTATTACATTGTCTATGGTTTTATGCCCACAGACTACACATACAGGTAATTATGAAATAAAAAACATCGTATATTACAAACCACACATATTTATTGTAGTTTCATTTATAATTTCTACACATCTCACCGTCGACCGCGCGAGACCGCTAACTAAAACAGCAAATAAACTTATTTATGGAAGCCATATTGTTTATAAATCCCTCTAGGATCCAGAGTTGTCCATAGACTAGTATTTTTTATAATTTTAAATAAAAGCAACGATATCGTCTATACAGCCGAAACAATTTCTTTTGAATAAAACCAAAATTTATAATTTGTATTGTAAATACATAACACTTTTACAAATATGTTAAAACTTAAATTATACATAAAATAACATAAACTTAAAGATATTTTATAAAATCATTACCGTGAGCATACAACTATTGATTAATTTTTTAATGAATATTTTGACAGCTTGAAAGCAGAGTCAATTTTCACTGTGTTATAATTATAGTGCCAAATTAATTTCAAGTACTTAAATATGCCTTCGAATGATTCTAAATTTAGAGAATATTACAAGTTATATTTAGAGTGGAGGCATTAAAAATCCATAATTTTAGTCATTGATTCTGAAATGTCATTTTCCTAGAATTAATTCTAAAATTTAGAATTTTAGCACAGGATTATGTCAAATGGTAATAACACTTACGGTAATGTTTCATATACAATTACGATGTATTGGGGGTGGTTTATTAAATATCAATCTCTAAGCTTATCTCTAAAAATCATCTTATAGTATGTTCACAAATTTTATATTAGAAGATAATCATGTCATAACTTTTAGACGTCGTATCTCTATCACCATCATCATATCTATATCACCATCATCACATAAATCATTATAATTTTAGATTGATAATTATCACTTCAGTTCTCTCTGTGACTGTACACAAGAATGAGTAAGCACAAAAAGTTTGAGTTTTAGAGTCTGAATATCTAATAAGTTTAGAGATAAACGTAGAGAATGTTTACAGTATGTATTGTGACAATAATTGACAATGCTTTACAAAATAACAATTTACACTGTAATAACTAGAATTAAAGAATTTACATTTGATTTTGAACTTTATATATTTATCTTTATAGCGTACAAAATAGAATTAAACAATGTGACAGAAAACCTGTGAATTCGAACAATACATTTTGTCATTTTCATACAACAAAAATACCATACAAATTTCCAAATCTCTTATACAAAACGTTTCATACAAAATTTTACAAACACAACACAGAATGGCCAGTCATGTCTAGGATTGCCAACGGTACTCTAAAATAGAGTATTGTACTCTGTATCATGTAGGTGTACTCTATAATCTATAAAACTAATAGAGTATGCTAAAATAGTCTTTTTTAAACAATATTTACTATACTAGTAAGCAATACCAAAAATTGTGTGCTGCAAAAAGTATAAAAAAATACCAATTTAAAAATATAAAATAAATTTTCCTATTTGTAAGTTCGTACTCTTTATTTACATTTGAAATGACATATACTCTAGTTATTTTTAAAATATTTAATATACATTATTTATTTTATTAACCGGGTCTTAACACGAATAATTTTATGGTAAATAAAGGTATTTACCTCTCGACGTTTCGAACGAGCTGACTGAATAATAAATACCTTTATTTACAATAAAATTTTTCGTGTTCATATCCGATTAATAATATAAATACCAGATACACTCTATTTTCTCTAATAAAAGTTGGCAATCCTACTCGTGACACAAGTGACTTGAAGCCACGTCAGTACGACCTCAAGTGACTTTCATTTCGGCAGTACATGTTCATTTATGTTAGTTTGTACTACACTGTATGTTGTTACATTAAACATTAACCTTATAATAGAGATCTCAAATTGAACTTACATCAAAAACACAAAACAGCAAATACACTTTAAAACATTTGTTACAAACGTTTAAAGTCCACATGGCAATAAGAAAACATTGTGAATGCAGTCAATGATTAATAATTACATCATTAATATAGTTAATCGGGTATTACCACAAATAATTCTGTGGTTATTGCTTATTTTTCTGGTGGTGGCAAACTGGCATACGGCCCATCTGATGGTAAATGGTTACCGTAGCCTATGGACGCCTGAAACTACATGGGTTACGCGCGCTTTGTCGCCCAAAAGAAACCTTCAAGCGAGCCCAAACCTCTCATGAAAAAAATAGAGTTTTCTCGAGAGACTGCACTATAGAGATTTACAAGGGTATATTCTTGTAAATCCCCATTCTGTTTGGGCTACTACACACTGGGCTGCACATGTTTGGGCTATTGTCAGAAATCCATGGTAAATTATTTTTTATTGAGGGTTTGGGCTACTGTCAGGTGCTTAGACTCGTAGCTGGACCTCAGCCACGGATCTTCATATTTTTCGAGGTGGGGCAAATACTAAATGTCGCTCCACTAAGACGATTATTATTGCGACGGCCTGAATCTAAGTACGTAACCCTAGCGGTGCTTTCAGACGAAGTTGTGTCCGTCAGACGGGAGTTGGCCTTCAGCCGCTCCGTAAGTCCTTCGTCCGGTGAAGCTGTAAAGGCCAGCTGCGGCCAACAGCATTAGAGTATTCCGAAAATGTACCGTGCGGCTGACGGGTCCATCGTGTGGCGAAGAGTGGAAACTGAGCACTTCCCAGGACTTGTGACCGGGAGTAGGTTTAAAGGGCCCTTAACCTGAGGCTAATAGCATTTAAATTTACCCTATTTAAATTATTAACCGGGGCTTAACACGAATAATTTTATGGCAAATAAAAGTATTTACCTCTCGATGTTCCGACTAGGTTGCACTAGCCGTGGTCACGAACTGATTGTCGTTGAGAGGTAAATACCTTTATTAGCCATAAAATTTAAGTTCGTTTTGAGATCCGGTTAATAATTTAAATAATGTATATTGAATGTACCCTATTTAACTATATTAATCATGCGTTTGGTAAACACATAAGTTTAATAGTAACTAAATATTAAACAAACATAATATATAAATATATAGATCGTGAGCATTGAATCTAGTTAACAATGATTCACATATTTTGTAAATGTGTACGGGTATTCTGACAACCCCGATGGTCTAGAGGTTTAGCACACTGCTTCACTTCCGATGGTCACAGGTTTGATTCCTCGCACGGTACAAATATTTGTTTACATAAGTATTTTATGATTGTTTGTTTCCTACATAAATTATGTAGTTATGTAATTAAAAAAAAATGTATCTAACAATTTCTATCAATTACGTACAGCGCTTTCTAGTTCCAAGCTAAGTAGAGCTTGTCTAATGGGCACTAGACAATTGATATAAATATATAACATACATTTTTTATAAACATACATAATATACATAGAAAACACCCAGATCAAGATACAAGCAATTATCATGACTGACAAATATTTGTAAAGTGCGAGGAATCGAACCCGCGACCATCGGAAGTGTAGCAATGTACTAAACCTCTACACCACCGTGGCCATATGTGATGTATGGTATCATACACAAATTAAAAGAATAGATATTATAATTAAAAAACATAAGGAGGCGCCGGCGAAACTCCTCTTAACAACTTTTTTAATTTTATTGTTTTTTATATTCGTCTTACGAATGAAACTAAAAGATATAAAATCGCTTCTGTTTCAATCAGCATTATGGGAAAGCGATCTCACACCATCAAATCGTTCAATACCGTCTACTTAGCACCATACCATGATATTTCAATACGCATCACTATATAAATATATTATACCTCTAAACAGACATAATGACATCATTACATAGTATAAAACAAAGTCGCTGTCGCTGTCTGTCCGTCCCTATGTATGCTTAAATCTTCAAAACTACGCAACGGATTTTAAAGCGGTTTTTTTTAATAGATAGTGATTCTAGAGGAAGGTTTATATGTATAATACA